TGCGTAGGATGCAAAAAGCTGCGTCTGTGGGTTTTGTGGGAAAAGTTTAGGGGGCATTTGCAGATCTTTCATAGCAAGAGACTACAGGAGTATCATAAAGCAGGACTGATACCCTTTTGAGCTAGGGAGAAGGGCAGAAATGAAATCTTGGGAAATGGATTCATATTAAAATAGGTCTTATGGCCCAATGCGGTAGCCTAGGGCTAAAGTCCCAGTGGGCAAGGACATGCACTGGGATCCCATATGGGCGCTGGTTCTAATCCCAGCAGCCCCGCTTCCCATCCAGCTCCCTGCTTGTGGCCTGAGAAAGCAGTCGAGGATGGCCCAAAACCTTGGGACCCTGAACCCACATCGGAGACCCAGAAGAGGCTCTGGGCTCCTGGCTTCAGATTGGCACAGCTCCAAGCATTGAGATCACTTGGGGAGTGAATCATCGGACGGAAGATCTTCCTCTCTGTCTGTCCTCCTCTCTGTATATCTGACTTTGCAATAAAAATAAATAGGTCTGAGACAAAAAGCAGTAAAGAGGACGCAGATGTTTGCAAATCTGGCTGTGCATGCTGGTCTACCAGGTGTCCTGTTTGGAAGGGTGGGCTGAGCTGCTGAGACTGCAAGGTCCAGGCCAGCGAGCCCCAGGAAGGCTGTCCACCAAGCCAACCTCCTCCTGGATTCTCAAGACTTCTTTGTGTGTGTGTGTGTGTGTGTGTGTGTGTGTGTGTGTGTGTGTGTGTGTGTTTTAAGGTGTGAGTTTCCTGGCTGTCAGTGTCCTTGTCTCTCTCCCACTCCATCCACCCCTCCTGCCTCCATCTCCCTTCCACCTCTGTCTCCTCCCTTTCCTCGTCTTTCTCTCTTCCTTTCCTTTCATGCCCTTGTTTTTTCTTCCTTTCTTTCTTGCTCTAGCATGTCCCCCACTCAAGCTTATTTTCTGCCTTTTCAACCTGAGTGTTTGTAAATGCACTTGGGTTTTTACTGTTTAGTGTACTTTTAAGCAGGGCATACTGGGTTCTTGCTTTTAACTCAAAGCTGGACTGATGGAAATTTGGATATCAAACCCACTCAGGTCTTCTCTAGACCTGCATGTCCCACCTGGTGCCAGCCTCACCCTGTGTAGTTGGCTTGGCCTGGAGTGCAGGCCTAACCCTAGGATCCAGCTTGTTCTGAGCTCAACAGGCAGTGACCTCAGGAGGTGACTGAACTCCGGGGAGGGGTGAGGACTGTAGTGCGAATTTGGTTCAATGAGATGACATGTCAGCGGTCATGTTGTATTCAGGTGTACCCCTGAGTGCAGTGACATTGCTGTGCGTCACATGATGGACCTGTCAGAAGAGAGAAGGAGTTCAGAGACTCTGTACACCGTCAAATTGGAAACTTTATGGAACCAAGACATCGTAACTTTGTTTGAAGAAGTTAATTCAAAGTGGACTCTGACACCCTCAACACACTTTTTCAAGCACAATGGCCATTTTTGATTTTTTCATCTACAGAGAACGTCTCGCCCACAAACCGGGCACACGGAAGTCCCTGACTGTGTTTCTGACTCCATCCTTTTCCGGACCTTCCACCTTCCAAGGTGTCTGCTCATCCTATGCCTCTGTGATTTCCCTGGCTCTGTTTGCTTTGCTTTGCCCTTGACTTGCCTTGCCAGCTGAGTAACAGTTTCCCAGTGCAGTTGACCTCATCTCCCAGAAGCCAGCCCTGCCCTTGCAGGGGTCCCTTCTCTCCCAGCTCTGCCATGCCCTGGGCTCAGAGCTTTGTGCCCTGTTGGGTGTAAACTCCTCAGACTCCGAGCTCCTGGGGATGGGGTCCTTCTTTTATCCGTGTTTACATCTCCTTTGTCTTGCTTGACATCTGACACATAGCTGTAACTCAAGATGTGTTTCTTGAATAACCAGGTACCTTAATGGACTAAAAATCCAGATAAGGGACTCCAGATGTGGGATTATGTTTTTCCGTTGAAGAGTTTGATGGGGTGGGGACAGTGTTATGACACAGTTAGTGACACTGGCACCAGTATTGGAGTTCTGGGTAGGGACCCAGCTGCTCTGCTTCTGATCCAGCTCCCTGCTAATGCACATGGGGAAGCAGTGAAGGATGGCCAAGTACTTGGGTCCCTGTCACCTACATAGGAGAACTAGATGGAGTTCAAGGCTCCTGTTTTGTTGCAGCTCTTTCTTGCACTGTGTGTGTGTGTGTGTGTGTGTGTGTGTGTGTGTGTGTGTATGTATGTGTGTGTCTTTCAAATAAACAAACCTCTTAATGGAAAAAAAAACAAAGATCTTCACCTAACGTTGGTAATTAGCCTAAGTATCCTGTTTAAAAAAGAGAATTCTGTTCGGTAGCATGTCACCGAAGAGAGTTGGTTTTAAGCCTTTTATGATAGAGAGGCAGCTCTGAGTTGTCTCATTAGCATTTGGAGTACACATTTTGCTTCACCTTGCTGCTGCCTCACTTTCTCACATCAAGAGCATCCTCTCTGTCCCTCATTAGTGATGCTCTGCTAATGGCGAAAGCTGCCTTGGCCTCTTAGAGTGGATGAGGCACAGCCTGGGGAGGAGAGGGCTCCGCCACCAGTGAAAGCAGTTCTGCAGAAATGAGCTGGTGGACTCATCCGAGCGGGCCTCCCCCACGGCCCCTTTGCCTGAGCTACTCCAAGTCCATCCTGGCCTAAGCACTGTCACTCGTGGAGTGGACATGCAGCCCTGCCTGCTTGGTCTCAGTTGTTTGCTCTGATCATCTGGATTGGAGGTGGCAGGAGACATATCCTGCGCATCACAGTGGAGAACACACCCTTGCCCTTGGCCGAGAACAGGGGAGGTTGCCCTGTGATGACGGCTCGCACAGTCAGTGCCTGCTCGTTTCTCTAGTCTGGCTGCTGCGTGGCCAAGCCCACATGGAACCCCTTTGCTTTTAGACTGGGTATTCGCTTGCTGTAAGTTAGGTGGATGTTGGGGAATGCTCATGGGACTCCTCATTTTCCTTTCGTGTTCCTGGGTCCTGGCTCTTTCTAGCCATAAAATGAGACACTTATCACCAAGATAAGCTTAGGAGTTGTGTCTGGCTTTTAAAATTCCTTGACTTCTAGCTTTTTCTTTTGTTGTTGTTGTTGTTCTTATTTCCAACTCCCCATTCTTCTCATGCTCGGGTGAACAAGATAGGCAAGAATACTACTCTTCCAGGTTTAATTGGAAGCCTTTATTGAAAAAAAAAATGTAGGTGTTGGAAAGACAGCTTGAATTCCAGTGGGATACAGATGACCACTGTCGAAGCCCATAGCTGAGGAATTCCAGGGAAGCATCAAATCAGTGGCCAGCACGGCCTCTGCAACCCGAGATGGCCTCTGCAAAGGGGATTTATGGATAGGATTTCCGAATCCTAAGTCTCATCTTGTGATGTTATCCCAAGAAATGTCCAGTGTTTTCTCTAACTCCAGGAAGAACGATGTTGAGGAATAGGCTGCCACATGTATCCAGCTGCATGCATATTTTACGCTCTTGGAAGAAAATGTCTGTAAACACAGAAGTGACTAAGTTTGGATACTTGAAAGAGGTGCATTTCTCTGCTTTTAATTGTCGGGATTTTGTATACACAAGTGTATGCAACTAATAAATGCTATCAAATTTCACGTAACCATAAACCAAGCAGCAATATTTTGCTTGCACCAGAGAGCTTCATTCTGAGTTTTCATTCTCAAATGGAAGTGTCTGGAAATTGAATTTGCTTTAGAGTTGATGAAACATTGATCATTTAGACTGGGGTGCCAGTCTAACAACTGACCAAACTCCTCACATTGTGCAAATTAAATTTTGCCACAGAAGAAAAATATTCCTAAAGAAGTAAGTTCAGTGTTCGGTAGACTTACCACGATGGTTCAACAACAACAAAATAGGTTTGTTTTTATTTGAAAAGCAGAGTTACAGAGAAAGAAGGGGAAACAGAGAGAGAGAGCTTTTGTCTGCTGGTTTATTTATTCCCCAAGTGAATGTAATGACTAGAGCTGGGCTGGTCTGAAGTCATAATCCAGGAGCTTCTACTGGTCTCCCGTGTGGTGGTAGGAGCCCAAGCACCTGGACCATCTTCGACTACTTTCCCAGGCACATTAGCAGAAGCTGGATTGGAAGTGGAGCAGCTGGGACTTGAACGGGCACCCTATGGGACGTCAGCACCACAGGCAACCAACCCGCTGTGGCACAGTGCTGCCCCTTTAATGTGTTTTGATAGAAATGGTCAGAGGAAGACGACAGAAGATAAAAAAAAAAAAATACCCTCTTCCTCTGTGCCACCAAACCATTGCTTCCTACTCATGTGCATTCACATCCTGGAAAACTGAACCATGCTTGCGTGAAGAGGTGCTGTGGTTCCTCTGCAGGGCTCCCGGTGTCACCTGGTTGGCTCTATCGCATCTGACCATGTGATAATCTTTGATCGGGCTCTCTGGATTTGCAGGTGGCTGAAGGACAGCGATCTTTTTGCCTGAGAGTAATGACTCATCCGCAGAGATGTTGGTGGCGTTTCTTGCAGGAGGGAGGTGGTACTTCTTGAGGCATGCGCTCCTGGTGTCTAGTGTCGGATGTCCTTCGCTTTCCCCCCATGGCTTCTCCCCATGCATGAATCCTGAAGGGGAGCTTAGGAGAATTCTTTCTGTAAAAATGGACATACTGTATCTGTACTTGCTTTTTCTATTTTGGGCACAAGTTGTGAGGCTGGGTCCTGTGTAGGAAGCCTACACGCAGCCAGACAGGACCGGGCCTGTGACATCAATGCTGATGTTAGCAGATTGCTTCTCTACCACGGTCAACAGTACTTAGTACTTCCAGAGAAGTGAGGAGAAAACGTATGCTCGGATGTTATGATGGTTTAAAGGGTGCGTCTCAGTGATTCACACAAGGAACTAGCCAGCCATTGCATAAAGATGAGTGGCAGAGAGGGTGGCTGGCTAGCCTGTGTACGTGCAGTGTGAAGTGTGCTCACAGGCACCTGACTTATCTCTCCGTTTTTGACAGGTCCGTTGAATAGCACGGCGTCAAAATGGCTGAGCGCTTTGATTGCCACCATTGCAACGAGTCTCTCTTTGGCAAGAAATACATCCTGAGGGAGGAGAGCCCCTTCTGTGTGGCATGCTTCGAGGACCTGTATGCCAACACCTGTGAGGAGTGCGGGAAGCCCATTGGCTGCGACTGCAAGGTACCCATCCGTTCGTGGCCTTCCCAAGACCCTGGTGCTCCCGACGGAGCTGCACTGTGCTGGGGCCCCCAGCCCTGTCCACCACTGAAGGCTGTCCCGGGAGCCCCCTCCGAGGACTCCGCACCCTTCCTGAGCCGTGAGGGCTGAGTGCCCTGCCTGGACGTCCATGCTTAGAATTCTGGGCACACCTTACGCAGTCTGGTTACCAAGAGCCTTATCTCAGCACCCTCACCCCACCCCGCTTGCCAGGACGGAAAGGGAAGTGCTCCCTCACTCTTGTCTGTTTGCCCCCTGGTGACTAACGCAGAGCAGACTCTGCTCTGTAAATATTTGATGAAGTGATGTGGACAGGAGTGAACAGGGGTAGGTTCCTAGATAAATGGGTGCATGTAAGCACCAAAGGCTGGCCCTTTTCCTGGGCCAAGAATAGGATTGGTTTTTGTCTTATTATTATTTTTTTAATTGGCAAAGGCTTACCATGTAAGAAGCCAGCAGCTTCCTTTCACAGCCTGATGTGGCCCAGCAGAAACCCAAGGTCTTTAGGGCAGAATGGCCAATGGCTAAGGGTTGAATCCTGGCCCGGATTTCTCAGCACATCCTTGGTCCAACCTGGACCCTGGAAGGACAACCCTGAGGTCAGCCTGCAATCTAGAGATGTGAGCCTCTTTACCTGGACCCTGGAAGGACAACCCTGAGGTCAGCCTGCAATCTAGAGATGTGAGCCTCTTTACCTGCAAAGCGATGGCTAAGGCGTCCTTGACCATCCCAGAGAGCCCCAGGACAGGTCACAACCTGGGGGGGGACTTTAGGGTCCGCAAAGGATTTTGCAGTTAAATGGACTCCAAGGCAATCTGTGGCATTGGGTGGCCTCTTCCTGTTTCCCTTTGAACTTGATTGGCATTTTGTCGCTCTCGCCCCTGTGTTTATAAATAGCAGCACTTAACTGTTGACAGATTCATGTGCCTGCGTCCTTGGAGCCTTCTGACACCTACAGCCTGTGCTCCTTATGTTTCTTCAATGTGTCATTGTCAGAGAAGACATTACTCAGAGGCCTGCGTGACTGGCACTGCAGGCAAAAGGAGAACTTGGCCCAGAGCAGAGAGCATCAGCATGGGCCCGTGGGAACCACACTTGCTGCTGTGTGACTTCTGGCTTCAGACTGGCAGTGGGGTGCTGAGTGGGATTGTACAAACTTTCTTTTTAAAGATATATCTGTTTATTTGAAATGCAGAGCTATAGAGAGAGAGAAGGCGAGGTCGGGGGGGGGGGAGACAGAGACAGAGATCTCTGGGCCAGGAAGAAGCCACGAGCCAGGTGCTCCATCCAGGTCTCCCACATGAGCAGCAGAAGTTCAAGAACTTGGGGCTGTTTTTCCTCTAGGTTCTTAGATGCATTAGCAGAGAGCTAGATCAGAAGTAGGACAGCCAGAACTTGAACCATTATAATGTGGGGTGCCGGCATGGCAGGCAGCAGCTTAACACTGTGCCACAACACTGGCTTCTCTGTTCAGAGATTCAATGGCCACATGCAGAAAAGGCCCTTCCTGGCTTGTCTGAAAGTTGAGTAACTTCCTCTCTCTCCAGTTTTGCCTGGTGCTGTCCCTGATGAGTGTTCTTAGAACCTCTTTGTGTGACAGGCTAAGTCTTCGAGCTCAGTCAGCAGAAGGCCTGGCTGCAAGGTAGGCTCTGTGCCTCACTAGCTATGTGACCTTGGGCCGGTAACTAGATCCCGCTGTGCCCACATCTTCCTTTGTGAAATGGAGAGTCAAGTGGCTGCCTCCCACAGCTTCGGTGCTACTCAGGTGGATCCCAGTTCCTGACACCCAAAGCAGCCTCTTGATATTGTAAGCCACAGCTTCCTACCTCTGTCCTTGCTACTCCCTGATTCGTTCTCAGGCCTTCCCCAAGCCTCCCCCAATTTTGTCTGTCGACAATCTAGAAACATCAGTAAAAATGTCCATCTAGATGACTCATGCAAAGGCTTGACCTGGAAAAGAAATAAGCATGGACTTGAGAGGGTTCAATGTCATTCTGACACAGAACACTTCTCGTTTAAAGAAGCATTTGTGATATTTGGGGCTAATCACCATGGACCAGTGGCTGAGAGCAAAACAAAAATCGCTTATCATTCTTCCAGGATGATTTAATGGAAAGACCCTGAGCACCAGTCATCCTTCCACAGATCCTTTATGCACAAATAAACAAAAGTCTCCCCCAGTGGGGCCAAAGTCAACAAGGCTGCATTGAAGTCAGGAGTTAATCATGCTGAACTTTTCAACCCAGATGAACATGTCGAGATACGTGGCCTGGTGCCATGTGGTTCTCCACGCTATGGAGCAAAGAGAAACGTCCGGTTGAAGTTAGACCTTGTCTTTTGAGGCTTTGGGAATATTTGCAGTGGTTTCTTTGGACTTTGGAAAGCAATTATGTCGTTGACTTGTGGAGGAAGCAACGACAGACAAGAATGTTCCATTCGTTTCAGGAAAGTGAAGCCAAAACTCTTGGCAGGCAACGCGCCCCACGGAGCAACTGAGCGATGGTGGATGTGGTAGCCCCTGTCCCTTCTTAAAACAGCACAGCCACGGAGGGCCTCCCTGCTCAGTCTCTGTCTTCTCTCTCCTTTCTGTGGATAGTTTTATAATAGTGGTGCATTGATGGGAATCAGCCGATTCTGAGGATGATGGCTGATTTTTATATGAGTCATGCAAGACTTCACATCCCATACCCCTGGTTAACTTCCCTAGGTTTGAATATTGCTTCTGTACAGCTGGTCAGTTACATTTTTTTTTCTTTTATTATCTACTAAGTTGCCCTGAGACAATGCAGTGATTGCAATGGTAAAAAGCGTGGATTGATGTGGTCAGCGGTCTAGGTGAGAACAGGCCCTTCTCATGAAATTTCGTAATCCTCCGATGTTATCCCCTTCCTGAAATATTTCTTAGGCATGTGTTGAGATCCTGACCAAAAAAGGCAGATCAGATTTACAGAAAGAAGGAGAGACAAAGATCTTCCATCCGCTGGGTCACTCCCCAAGTGGCCGTAACAGAGAGCTGTGCCAATCTGAAGCTAGAAGCCAGGAACTTCTACATCTCCCGCGTGCATGCAGGGTCCCAAGACTTTGGGCTGTCCTCCACTGCTTTCCCAGGCCACAAGCAGGAAGCAGGATGGGAAATGGGGCTGCTGGAACACCCACCGATTCCCATTTGGGATGCCACACTTAAAGGTGGAGGATTAGCCAGTAGAATCTTGCATTAGCCCCTGGGAAAGTTCTTAAGTGTCAGAAAACTTCACAGGAGGTTTGGGTTTTCGCACATCCCGGTCCAATCTATTGTGCCCTGGTATGTGCTGGCTAAGGCACATAGGTTGAAAAAAAAAAAACTGTGATTGTGTTTAGCATGACATGGGATTCCTCTGCCTGCCTTTTGGACCTTTGTTTTAGGGAGACCATTCGCTCCAGTCATACTTGAATAGTACAATTTACCAACTACGCTGTGTTTATTGGGGTGATTTTTAAGTTCTTGATGAAGAGATCATCTTTTTTTTTTTTTAATTCTTCTTCATGTAGAATTTGTCCACAGATTGTATTAAGCATGGAAAACGTTTGTCCACTCTTGCCCCAGGAGGGCTGGGTTCTGAGAGTGGATGGTACCAAGTGTCGTATGAGGTACTGTGCTACTATGACTGGCTCAGAGCATCTGACAGCCACATAAGTGACTCACTAGCAGGCCTGCACATGGTGTGGACATGCCAGGGTGAGTCACATCCTTGGGCACAGGATGGCATGACACTTCATTATGATACTCGGAATGGTGCAAAATGTAAAAATGTATGCTTATTTCTGGAATTTTCCACTTTGTATTCTTGGACTTAGATTGCCTGCAAGTTTATTGACTTATCAGAAAGTGAAACTGTGGAGAAGCAGGGCAGGACTGCTGAAATGGTTTATCCGTCCTGCTAAAAGATGATAATCTGTTGCTCAAGAGAATTTACCTGAGCATGGTCCTCAGAGTCATGAGTAAGACCAACTGGGTGGGTTCTGTGCGAAGGACCTCTCAGCCTGTGAAAACCAGGCTCGCCAGCAGGTGCTCAACATCCTGCATTATGTCACACGCATGCCAGAGTTGAGAGGAGCTCATCTCCAGCAAGCCCTGTAACGTGTACACAAACCATAGCTTGCACATTTGGGAGATGGGGCTGCCTGTCTCACTGGACTGTTGTGGAACTGAGCAAAGTGTACCTGGAGCCTGCGCTGAGCGAGTGAGTGCCGTGCTTCCTGCCATTGTTCCTTCCTCTGGGTCCTTGCTCCTAATGCGGTGCATGAATATGTAGCTGCAAAGAGCCTGCAGCTTTGGAGCAGCGCACATCTCCTGGGCACCGAGAGACGTGGGATTCCCTCTGTGAAGGGAGACGTGTGCTTTGGAGAAATTATTGCTTCAGGAAAGCAGCAGGCCAGTGTCTCCAGACTCAGATGGAGGGACGTTGACAGAGGGAAGTGCAAGAACGGGCTGGCGCCTGAACGTTCTTGCTGCCTTGAGGGACCCTGAGTGTCTGTCCCCTCAGGCCACTTATTCAACCCAGACTTGGTCAGTCAAAGTCTCTATGGTTGGAATGTTTCTGAAATGAAATAATCTAAGGTCTGGAAGGAAGTACTTGGGCCTAATCTTACATGTTCATCAACATTTCACTGCAATTGATGATATTTTTCGGAACACAAGATTAGTCCTGGTGGGTTGGTTTTTTTTTTCTGGGAAGTACAAAAGTCTTGTTTTGTTTTAATTTTCTTGCTTTTTCAGTCTCTCTAGAAGATTTTACAACAAGGGTATCTTAGGACTCTTTTTTAAAAAAAAATTATTTATAATACAAAAATATTACTTATTTTTCATGATACTGTTCATTACGCTCAGGGATTTTCATTTTACCCTTCCCCACCCTCTTCCCCCACTGTTTTCCTCTATATTGCTTTTTTTTTAAGATTTATTTTTATTATTTTTTTTCATTGGA